TCTTCCTCATTTGCCCTTTATACAAAGTGCAAATAGAAAGATGATGTACAACACTCTTAAAACAAGATTCCAACATGTCATTCTTTTCATATTTTTCAGATGTTATTTCTGTAACAAATGAACAATCTAACAATGCAAAAATATTCTTTTTTTGTCTGTCATCGCACCTTTCTAACATCTGGACCAGTCCATATCACTTTAATTTTTATTTGAGTACAACGTTGTTGTTGTTTTTTTGTGTTTTTTTTACACAAGTATCTATACTTCTACTTGAGTAAAGAATGTGTGTACTTTTTCCATTTCTGATTATCAGGCTTAAAAAAAATATTATTACAGAGGGTTTGTTCAAAATTTGAATCTGATAAAATTACTAATTACCTGTTAGAAAATGTAATCAGTATCTTAATCCAAGTATGACAATATTAAAGTAACTTGTTACTTTTGGACTACCTCCACACCAAATATGCAAATAAGAAAAGAGTAAAGAAATATTGATAATATAAGTGTATTCTATAGGACAACAGAACTTAAACTTAGAAAATAAAATGGAAACCAAAGTACGTCCTTTGGTCTGTATTTTGAAATTGTGATCCTGCTAATAATCCCCAATTTCACTAAGTATAACTGCTATCTGATAGGCTACTCCCCAAGCCTGATTACTGACTTGCATTGCTGTTTGAAAACCTCCAAACACTCAACATGATGACAAACCACAGACAGGCAGCTTTTGTTTGTCCTTTAACAGCTTGTGTATGTGCTGATTCCAGATCAGCTGAATACACACACTTTCCTCTTTCAGTGTTTTTCTTCTTCTTCGTTGCTTGTCTGCCTGTCCGTGGTTATTGTCCAATTTCTGTAAACGTTTTTAATTTGTTGACATTCAAATTTCATTTTATTGAATAAAGTTGTGCGGCTGGTCAGCATTTTTATTTTTGTTTCTCATTCTAATGACTTCAGAGCCTATAAAATCTTCAGAGCCTAACAGGTAATGTTCTCAGACGTTGTGGGAACGGTGTGGCTGCAGGGACACACACTGTCACCCCCCACCCCTCCTGTAAAGAAGAGAAAGCTGCCAGCGCGGGGACGCTTTAATTGGAATTTCATGTGGGCTAAACTGAGGGGAAACTGATGTAAGTTAACATTTGGTAGACTTAATTGGTCCCTTTCTCTCCCTCCTCCTCGATCGGGCACTTAACGGGCCGCTCCCGAGGCTTCCCCGCTAATCTCCCATTTACAATCAATTCAGTCGGCCAGACAAAAAAAAGTCCGCCTTTCTCCCTCTTTTCTTCTCTTCCTGTCTCAAACGAACTTCTTTGTGGCCCGTAAATTGCCTGAATCCCCGGCGATCCCCCCGGTGGCGGAGGGAGCAAAGGAAAGATAGTCCTCATGTTGTTGACAGCCGATTAGCGCGCGCTCCCGCTCCTCCCTCCCTCCCTCCCTCTAATCTCCCGCACCGCGGGGACGCGCCTTTAATTAAAGCTCCAGTTCGTCAATTAACGTGTTTGTGGATGTTGAGGCGGTTGCTCAGATGTTGAGAGAGAGAGAGGTGCAGAGAAAAGGGCAACCTGCGCGCCTTTAGCTTGTTTACCGCTCCGACGTTGTTGTTCATGTCCCGCAGCCCGCAGGCTCCGCACTCTGCTGCGTGTGTGTGTTTGCTGTTTCTCAACACACACACAGCGTTGGATACAAGTGAAAGTGAGAACTGTTGAGTCTCTGTAAATAAGGAGTACGGTCTAGACCTGCTCTATTTGTGTCATGAGTTAACTTCTGTTATTATTTTATAGAATTAAAATTTAATTGAAAAATTGCATAGAATGGAAGTTAAACCATGTCGATCATTTTGGTTCTTCCCTGTCAAGTGGATGTGACTCAAATTCTATTAGCTATAAATGTTCTGTCCCTCCTGTGACTGATTTTGTGACATTTTCAGAATCATTTTTGGAGGATTGTTGGCCTTAAATGTTGATGATTTAACACCAGCTTTTCTAAAAAAGTGCAAATGCATATTGTGATGTTTTTAGGCATTATCTTGTATAGCTAATTAATTAAAAATCAAAGGCAGCTTGTTCCAGTGAGAATAAAATTGCTTCCAGTTTGGTGACATATAGCTCAAAGTTTTGTGTGGGGGGACTGCTATGATTGGTCAAATATTGTGAAACGTTGCGGTGATTGGACAAAAATGAAAAATAAAAATAATTCTGTCATATTTGCTGAAACTTTCATTATATCCTGACAGTAGAACATAATGATCTGTAAAAAAAAGAAATCAGGTTCCTCTGGCTCCTCCTAATGTTCCTAATGACATTTACAAGAATCCACAGCGCCTGAGCGAAAACAGCCAATTAGAGCCAAGAAAGATATATAGAAGCTTTGGGTTGGAAGCTTGAACATTTTTGTGTCTCAACAATCAATCTTTCCTGGCATTATCTGTCAAATTGTCTGTCTCATGTACTACTCTCACGATTTAGTGAAAATTTCAATAAATATGACAAAAACTTGTAAAATAACTATAAAAGAAAACCTACTGCAGCTTTAATTTCTCAGCTCTTATTGTTTGTTTGTGATCACAACTTCCTGGACAGAATGAACGCTATTTGAATGAAAATGTACACATAGACACAAACAATTTGGATGACATCCTCCAGAGGAATGTGTGAAAATGGACAGGGTGTACACCAAGGTCATGTCTTTGGTCCCTTGTGATTTTAGAGGTTTTAATGGCCTAGAGGAAGAGTGTGGGCCTACATTTTGTATTCTTCACCAAAATGTACAACAGCCCCAGTGCATGCTATAATGCTAGCTAACGTATATAGTCTCAACATATAATAAAATAGAGACTTGACATTGGACAAGCTAATCCCATCCATAGGCCTTCTCTAACAAAATAACGAAAATACACCACCAATCTTTAAACCGGAAAGCATTTCTAACTACCTTTCAGTTCGTAAACTATCGTATAGATAGCTACTGACTATTTTTTTTAAAATGTCAAATTGCACCATTTTTAATTTAGTGTGAGTTTTTCTTTAAAAAACAACTAAGGCTATCAGCTCTGAAAGGGCCCATCCCCCCCCCCCCCCCCCCACAAACACACACACACACAGGCCACATTGCAACCTCCCTGTTTATATTTACACCCTTGACATTTACACACACTCTATGTGCAATTTTTTAGCAGATTCTGGTATTTTGGAGGGGATTGCAGCTCTATCCTGGGCCCAATGTTTCTTAAATCCCAGCCAACTGGCAAATGCATCTCATCTTTATCACTTCATCAACCTTGTATCTCCAGATTGTTGAGTTGAACAGCCTTGTTGCAGCTTCATTCGTTCGGGTTTAGATGCTTTCAGCTTTTGTTTACTATAAGAGATATTTTAATTTGAATGATTTGCTGCAGCAATAACATGCCAGGAACAGTAGCCGACATATTGTCTTTATTTGAAACGACTGTCCTTGCGTCCTTTAGTCTGTTTTATTAAAGTTCGCTGGATTTTCCTTCAGATGTCTGTGTCTCTGGCGCACACTGATGAAATAGGTGAGCAGGGCATTCATCTGGCAATATTAGCACTGCCAGGCTTCTGCAGGCCCGGTCGGCCCGGCTGAGCGCTAATTGGCTGTTAATAGAAAGAGCGCCATTTGGGAGCACGGATCTGCCTCTCGACAGAATGTGTGCAGGGATAATATTGTTCCAGGAGGCGTGAGGAGAATAACTTGTGGTCTATTAAAGCGGAGGCCCAGATGAGGAGCTGCGGCCTGAGTGCTCCATTATCTCCTGTTCTGATGAGCGGCTCCGGATGCGACAGCACCCCCCTTTCCTCAATCAAGCCTCCCCGAGCCGTTTAGCTGGTTAATGTAATTCGCTTTCAAGGGCCCATGTTATCGCTGATCATTTGCGCTATTACGCCGGAGTCAAGTGTAAATGCTGCATTATTAAGATCGTGTCTGTCAATAAATGGTGAAGCAAAGTGGCTGCAGAGCATACAGCGGAGCCAGACTGAGTCTATATGTGGCTTTTTAACAACACTTCAAAATAAAACACCTACAAAGTTTAGCAGACAGATGCCTCTACAGTAATATGCAGGGTGTTATATATGCCTTATTACTGCTAGTGGACCACACCGAGGGAATCATATTTCAAATGAATCCTGTTACTGGTGCTGTCATTAGCCTAAAATATGTTTGGTTTTTTAAATGCACAGTCTATATCTGTGGTCTATTTAAACAACTGTCATCTGGCACTGTGTGATATAGGCCTATAATAGTAGATTAATGGCCCTGAGGTTTAAAACACAGCAACAAATCTAAAAAAAAAACCACAAAATAAATCAACAAGAAAAAAACAAAATGACACCAAACAAATCAGTTGAACAAATAAGAAAAGAATTCACAAAACAACAAATCAAAAAAATATTGTAGTGCTTCAGTAAGCAAAAAATCTCACCCTTAAAAACATTTCTAAACTTAGTCAGCACAAGCGTCGTCATATTATTCAGTTTTATTTTCAAATGCCTTCAAAAAATGGAAACCACATGGCTCAAACATTCAGTTTTCATTATAAGTTATAACTTATTTATTCACATTAACATTTTTTTCTGTGAAATACACAACATGGTAATGACTCACATTTTAAATAACATTCTTTATTTCCATAACCTATTATTTACAGTTCCATTGCGGAGACAGATGAGTTATCCCATGTATGGCAACACAGGAAAAAAAATTCATATGGGCAGAAAAAAATCCCTATAATATTCCTACAGTGTGAAGTGTAAGGTGATGTACCTTCTGGTCTGTTTCTGTATTCCCTACAGTGTCACTGCTGGGATTACCACAGTTCTCTTAAGGGATCGTGCCCAATTTTATTGGACCAAACCTTCTCTCTGGACTTTCAAAAACAGCTCAGCGTGGCTACAAATGCAGGACAAAGGCCAGTCTTTGTGAGGCCTCGCAGCTCGAGGTGGAAAATGAAAACTTGCCGTGGGGGGAATTAGCAGCCTGCCTCAGCTCTGCAGCTCTCGGGAGGCCTCTGTGGCCACAGAGAAGACATTATCGTGCAGCTTCCTGATGTGTTTCTTCAGGTCAAAGTTGCGGCAGAAGCCCTTGCCGCAGGTGCCGCAGGTGAAGGGCTTCTTGTCGTTGTGCGTGTGCATGTGGAAGGTCAGGTTGTAGATCTGATGGAAGGCCTTGTTGCAGATGGAGCACTTGTACTGCTTCTCCCCACTGTGAGTCAGCTTGTGGTTCTTGTAGTTTCCTGGGAAATTGTAAAAAAGGAATAATGCATCAGAAGAAGCAAGGGGTTGATGAAACAGAAACATAACATGTTGTAACATTTATTCTGACCAGCAATTCAAGCAGCAGAATGAAGAAGTCAGAAGCAGCTGTTTGGAGCAACTTCAAACCTTTCAGCACTGAATGTAACCTGAACTTTTCTGGAAATGAGTGTGAATAACACATCACATCGAAACAGGAAAACAACTTCCTGTGACTTCAAGTGTAAATGACAATTCATAACATATACAATTTATTGAGTGAAGATGAAGTGTGAAAATTAATGAAATAATAGCTGACTGAACAAGTTTCTTTCCTTTGTAATAAAGAATCAAAATGTGAATTAATAAAGCATTAAACAGAACCGCAGCCTGAGTAATGCCAGCATGGGATAGAACAGGGCTGCCCAAGGTGGGGCCAGGTTAAATGTGGCCCGCCAGATATTTATAAAAAAAAAACAAATTATGAATTTAAACTAAAAAAGTGTTTATGCTGTTTTATTGTTTGTGTAAAAATGCTCCTTAAATATATAGGGTCCTTATTTATTAATATTATTAATTGGTGGGCAGAGTAAGTCAGACAATTAAGGGAAGACGGGATCCTCGTACCATTTTGCACCATAATACAATACAATAGCGTACAGTACAAAATATGTTTGCTTTTGGCCCGTGGCCCTCATTTCAGTTTCAGTTTCAGCCCTCCTTGGGAAAAAATGTATGCATGATAAGAAGTCAGCCTTATTTTTCTTGAAATCACTAAAAACAACAAGCATGTGGATTATTTGAATAATCCCTGTATGCATCCTAGTTTTGTGACTTTGTCTAAAGCCAAAATACATCAGAACAATAGCAGCTTGATTAAAAAAAACAACTAAATGGAATGGCAGATTGGTGATTTATCCACAGTTAAAATAACTAAGCGAGGGATGATTTCTTACAGTGGTTGAAGAAAAGCAGGAGGGGAAAGCAAGACAGTGTGCTATTTACTGGGAATCTTGCAAGAAACTGAGGATGAAAGAGGCCTCTTTTTTTTCTTCCTCTTTTCTCTTCCCTGCCAAGGTCAGCAGTTCATTGTGAAGTTAGAGCCTCCTCATTCCCTCTGCTCTGCCCAGCCTTCATTAATCAGGGTTTTGTGTGTCGGAGTCAAGAAGTTGTCAAACTTTGTCAGAATCAAGCACAGCGACAACTCAACGAAAGAAAAAAGCCCCCGATTCCTTAACTTTGCCGGGGTCTCGCAGCTGACCCAGAGCAAATGCTGCCGTCTTGAAGGGAGAATTAGTCTGTGTAAAGTGACATGTCCTATTTCCACTGATCGCTTCACGCTCATCGGTGGGCCCTGCAATTATTTCCCCTTTCATTACCCTCACAGATAACAGAGAGCAGCAGCATATGGTGCTGCTTCTGCTGCTGATCATATTTGTGTCAGCAGCCGACAAACCCCAAACTCTGAGGATTCCTTCACAGGGAACAAACACTGGTTCCACACAGAGAGGGTTTAATGCAAAGCTCTGCACGGCTGCACCCTCTCAACAATAACAGAGTGGAAACTGCTTCCTCATGCCAACTTAAGCAGTGAAATTACTGCACATAATACCCTATATTCTCTCAAATCTATGCAAGAAGATAAGACAGAAAAATAGGAAGCAGCAACTAAATACCATCCAGCAACATTGTTGGAAGAGACTTCAAAATAAATGGGCCAAAGATTGCAGGTAATGTCTAAGCTTAATGAGCCACTGTGTTTAGTCCTGGAATTTTTATTTTATTAAAAGACAGTTTTTCACATGTTCTCAGCGCGGGGATTTTCCAAAATCTGTCGTTATATTACAACAGGAGGATGACCGATAGGATAGCAAGAAAGAAAGTTGATTCGGGTCGGAAATAGATCAGAAAAAAAACTTAGCAAACGGAGATTTTTTTCTCGTTTTATGAATATTTTTTAGGATGCAGTACGGTCACAGTCATATTTTTGGAATAGAATACACATTTAATAGCCGACAAAAACAACTAGAAAAACCTGTCAGAAGTGTTTTTTGAATTCTTTTTTTTTATTTTTAAAGACGACATCAGGGTGCTTTATTTACCTTTCTGGTGGAACCCTTTCCCGCAGAACTCGCAGACGAACGGTTTGTACCCGGCGTGGATCCGTACGTGAGTGTTGAGCGTGGAGCTTCTGTTAAACGCCTTCCCGCACTGGTTGCATTTGTGAGGCTTTTCCTGAAACATTACAAACGAGTTTTATCCAAAAGTTGAATTTTTTAAGTACGATAAATGAAATAAAAAAATGCGTGTGTGCGCAGCGTCTCACCTGCGTGTGGATGATCTTGTGTCTGCACAGCGTGCTGGCCTGCCGGAATCCTTTCCCGCACACTTTGCACACGAAGGGCCGGGCCCCGGTGTGCACCGGCATGTGTCTGGTCAGATTGTAATGCGCGTTAAAAACCTGCGGAGGAGCAGAGGAACACCGGAGATGTTAACGAGAATAATTGTGACAGCAACGGCAGAGATGTTCGAGTGAGAGTGCCTCAGAAATAAATCTGCTCTCATTTATCCTCTGGAATTTAATCCCATTTACTAATTGTTTACTTGGTTATTTGTTTTGTAGGGCATTTTTTCGTTTTAATGTCAAACACTGGTTTACCTTTTATTGAAAAAAAAAAAGTGATTTACTTTAAAATGTTTCTCAATTTTAACATTGATATTCGCATTGAAAAAAGAAAAGGCTGGATATTGTTGGCCTATACATTATAGAATTGTATATAAACATGTTTTAATACCCTTACCTTTCCACAAACTTCACACGTGAAGTTTTTGGGTTTCCCGTCCGCCGCGCTGCTGCCGCTGCTACCGAGTTTGCTGTGCGTCTTGACGCCGCTCTTCTCGGCGCTCAGGCCGTGGTTCTCCTTCACTATCTGGTCCAGCTGCCCCGGCAGATGTTCTTTGTGCGGGTACTGAGGTGTGGGCAGCTTGTCGGCGCCCACCCCGGCCAGTTTGGCGTTCTCCAGCAGCAAGAGCCTGTGGTGCGCCGACAGAGAGGCCTGGGCCTGCGGGCTGGAGAACCAGTGTCCGGCCAGCAGCTCCGACTGCTGGTACGCAGAGTCCAGGTAGTTGAGATAGTAGAGCGATCCGCCGCTGGGCACGGCCACGGCCTGGTGGATGACCTGCGGTTTCACCACCCTGCTCCCCGACGTCAGCAGCGGCTGTTTCAAGCCCGGCTCCGCTTTGCCGCACATGCCGCAGTTCCCTTTGCACGGAGCGGCTGCGGAACCGCAAAAAGTCCCCCTGAAACTGGCTCTCCACAGCTCCGAGTAGTTCATCAGCGCCTTGGCTTGGAGGTCGTAGCTGAAGGGCTGCAGCGGGATCATGCAGGGGATCGGGGAGCAGAGCCCGAGCAGCTTCTTCCCCTCTGCCCGCTCCTCCGCGCTCCCCTTCGGCTCCGAGCTCTTGGACATGATCCGGTCTATGGAGAAGGCCAGGGTCTTGGGAGCCGCGGACGGTCCGGTCCTACCGCAGGACATCACCGTCTCCAGAGAGGCAGAACTTGCCATTCTTTGCTGTTGTTGTTGTTTTTATTTTTTACAGCAACTTGGTGTGAGCAACTCCCGGTATAGTCCGAACCGCTCCTCCAGCTGCCCCGCGTCTTTTTCACTCTCCTGAGCTCCCAGCAGAAAAGACAAGAGGACACATCAGTTTAATAAGCACCTTGCTGTCACAGTGTCACGCATTTGCATTCAAATGGCCATCCCCCCCGCAACAATAGCATCCAGGGGTGATGGATTAATGCTCATTAACTAGTGCACACAAAATTAACAGGACATTACAGAGCTCGTTAGGGAGGAGGAGGAGGAAGAAGAAGAGGGTAGAGGAGGAAGAAAAAGATCAAAATGTTGTAGTCGGCGCTCCGAGAGCATAAAGTTGAGTCTGTGTTGGAGTTTACCTCTTTAATGGTCGGATGGGTGTGGAGAAACCAGCAGACTGCTCTCTGTCACATGTTGGCAGCGCCCGCCCCTCCTCAGCGCGGATCACTTGTCTCCTGACATCAGCGGGCACCCAAACCCTTAACTGGGTGACAGGGAGACGCCCTCATCAACCTGCACGCCCTCAGAAAAACAAATCTACAGAAGGCGCCGACACGGGTTCCATATGTCATCTGCAACATAAATATGAAACCATTTCCCTCTAGAAAATAGGTGAACACATTATCATAATAGTGTTTTCATCATTAAAGACGCACTGGAAGAGCTGTGTGTAAGCCTCCTGCTTTCATTCGTTAACTACACACTCATCTTTTTTCCACTTCGGGACATTTTTGCAGGAGAAAGCTGCTAATCCTCGGAGATGGGATCCCTCCTTCTTTCCACGCCGGCTTATATACTTACTTACTATTTGTATAAATTCGAGGACGTCCAATTTCCACCTGTTTAAGAGCACAGGCTCCCTTAGGATCCCATTAAACGCTGTTCCTCCTTCCCTCCATTCAAAAGAAGCAATTTTCCAGAGCGATTCAAGGCTCAACTGAGCGCAGGGAAGGAGAGAAAAAAACACAAGCTCTTTCACTTTTAGCCACTAAAGCACTGCGTGAACCTGGTTTTGTGTTTTTTTCTCCCCCCTGAAATAGAGGGACGGATTAAAGAGGGAAAGAGGAAAAAGAAAAGACTTAGCTGGACAGAGGTATACAAGGACAAATGAAAAGAGAGGCTTTTTTTCCTCTCTCTCTCTCTCTCTCTAAAGAGGCATACAAGAAGTTTGCTGGAATCCACAGTGTTGTGTGGGAGTTACAATGAGCAGCAGCCTCTCTTCTGCTCGCTACAAGGACCGCGTTCAATTCATGTGTTTGCGGTTTACCTGAGGGAGAGGAGGGAGAGGAGGGGAGAGCTCATGCGACGCGCCCGGCAAAGAAGAGGGAGGGCGGGAAATAAAGGGGCAATATGAGGAAATAAAAATCTTCTCATAATGAATATAGCACTGCCTCTGTGTAGCTCTGTCATGATGTAACATATTTGATTTAATGACATTATTATTGGTTCTGAAAATATGTCGGATTGTAATACACATGACATTATGACTGTTGGGCAGTAATAATAATTAATTCATTAATTACTCATCACTCTTTTTAAGTAGCCTAATATTATTGCTTTATTTATCACTCTCTGACAATTAATTGAGACTGACCACGACTAGTAATAAAATTACTTTTTAAAAGGGTAATGAGTAATGAAAAAATAAAGATAAAATGAAAAACAAATAAATAAAATACATATTTTTTCTTATTTAATAATATATATATTTATATTATTTTTTTTATAGGGGTTTTCTTTTAGTAGCTAACCCAACACTGGTGACACCTTAGGTCAATTATGTGTGGGGTTTTTACCAATCACTTATATCCATGTGATAATTGTATCACCAATATTGAAATACTGTTATGTCACAGTACAGAAGAGGGTTATCTGACTTTAAAGTTAGAATTCCGGACCAAAATCCATCTATTATTAACATTATCAACATTTATAAATAACTGCTGCCACAGGGATTTTTCACTTTCTGGGAACACAAAACTGGTTCTTATTAATGGTTTCTAACAAAAAAATATTTTTTTACTACTTATAACCTTTAAGGATTATATTATTAAAAAACAGTAGAAAGAAATATCCATGACAGGGAGATTCTTGGAGTCTGTGTTTGAGGTTATATGAATGTTATAATTCAAAATGAACTTCATGTAGTTTTATGCTGCTATTTGGTCAAATATGTAGATCCCTCAGCAGTTTATTAACGCTGTCAGAATGTCAGAACATTTTACTGAAGAGGAACATTGAATGAGACAAATATAGGCCTAGACACACACACACACACACATACGGGGCTTGACCTGATCTTACTATAAGGGCACTCATGTTTGTTCATCCACACAGTCACTTTACAGGCTTAAAACTATCTAAAGGATATTCGTCGATATCCGTCAAAGATTTTGTGGGCTCTCACAGCAGCTTTTCTAAAAGGTTGCGATGTTTTTAAGCATTTATTTGCTATGAAAAAAAATTGCAAAAATAGTTGTGATTTTTTTGGTGACCGACAGATCAACGTTTTGCGCAGGGGACCTCGCGGGAAACTACAATGACAAAAGTTGCAGTGAAAATTGTGCTGAATTCACAGGGACTGGTTGAATTTGCATTAGTGTGATCTTTTTGGAGAGACTGGTTGAATTAAATGTGTCAGTGTCTCTGTTCATTTCATTCTTAATGCATATTTTGTAGAATGTTTTATGCATTCAGTAAAGCCAGATATTGAAAATATTTCTAGTGAAACTAAACTTTTGTGTTGGTAATATCACAGTTTTGACAGAAAACCAGCCCTGCTGAGCGGAATTCATGATCATGATGGTGCATTCTACACTAGGTGGAGGAAGGTGAAGGTTTACCTCAAGCCTTATAGACTATAGCCATACTTAGCCCAGCATGCTGCCGGCCTATAACACTAGTTTTCCTGTTAATAACCTTAAAAAACATCCCTTCTCTGTTTTGTTTCACACCTGCATCTCAGCAGGGAAGGATTAATGTCTGTTGTCTCTGTGCTACTCATATGCAAATAGGGTAAAAATACACTAATTTGAGTTTATTCAGGCACAATTGCCGGCTCATCCACACAATAAACATTGATCCTATTGCTGTAACCCAGGCCCCTCTATTCAGCTCTAACAGCAATTAGCTCAAGCATTGATTTAAGGGACTCTTGCTTGTTGCCTGCAGGCATGCAAGGGTCACAAATACTGGCTGGATGTGGCAAACCTGGTTTTAGTTTTCAGTGCTACATGTTTTTTAACAATTAAACAACAGTTCCAGATACCACACTTGGAGCCAATGGTTGTTGTTGTTTTTTTTACAAGCTTATAGTATGGATCAAGAGTCTTCATTGATCCATCCACAGTAGACCCACAGTCTCTGAGGTGAGTGTGGGTTTTCCAAAAAATAAAATAGTTGGTCTCATTGTGAAAATCAGTTAACCTAAACATTGAACTAAGCCATTCCACAAACTTAAAGATCCCCTCCAGACATTGGTTATGGATTGCAATGTGGGATTTCTGTTAGATTGTATGAATTTTTAGAGCATAAATGTTCTTGGAATGCAAACATTTTAATAAAATGTCAGAAAGTAAATATAGTGGACTAGGTAGCAAATAGGGAGTGATTTCAGACACTGCTGTACTATTTAATGCACTGTATTAACATCCAACTACTTCCTGCTTGCACTATATGCTGACTTCAGATTAGGCCGTCTTTCTGTGAGTGGAATTTTTCATCACTTTCTGTAGTCCCCAGGCAGTATTAAGCTCTTCAAGATTCATTCAACTGGCAATTGTAGCTTTTCTCACATTTCCATTGTTCTCACATACAAGCTTCTAATTAAATAATAAGAGACTGTAATATACTCCCAGCAGCTGCAAAAAGTATAATTCCTGTCTACTGCTTTCTGGAGTCCTCTTGGAGGTTGTGTTCCTGGCTGGTTCCCCACAGTTTATTGGCTGTGCGAACAGTCCGCGCAGTCACCACAAATGATGCCCAAACAGAGTCTATGCGTACACCCTGTGATTGTGGAATCTATGTGACACGGACCCCAGTGGCCCCTTGCGTACTCACGGAAGCGGAAAGAATAATACCTGCTTAAGACTGCACTGTGTGGTGTGACTGGATGTAGAAAAAGAGGTTCTGGAAATGTTTCAGTAGTGGTGGCACAGTGGCAGTATTCATTATTGAATTGAATTAAATTTTATTTGTAAAGTGCCATATCATAACATTAATTATTTCAGGACACTATTCAAAACAGAGACCCAACAGTTCTCACTATTCACTAATAAATTCATTGAACACATGTATAGACGTTTTTCCACATAAGACATTCTAACAGGTCAAAGTAGGAAAAGCTCAGGTGTAAATAATAAAATGAGTGATGGCTGCATTCCATTTAGCTTCTCAGGGGCCTGGTATTGTGCATTCTGGCTCACTGTGAGCCTGCCACGGCTTAATACTTGAACAGGATGGAGCCATCATTAGTAATATTAATAACACCTGTGTTTTACCTAAGTCAAGATGTCAAGGATGTGAAAAAGGCCTGTTGCTGGCCTTTATGAGACAGGAACATAATAAGTCAAGTGCTTGATTGACATCTCCCTTATTCACCTGATAGATTGTTGTTGTTGTTGTTGTTGCTGTTGTTGTTGTTGGGGTGGGACAGATTACACCTTTCCACAGCAGATATTTTTGACATTAATAATGGGTTTGTTCCATTTAGGAATCCCAGTTCCAGATCTGTGTTGTGCTTGCTAATTAAGTGGTATTTGAATGTACTGCTTGCAGTCTGTTTCAAATAGTAAGAGAGATGGTGTTCGACAGGAGAAGTACAAGTGTATGTTTTTACCAGCGATAAACTCAAATTAATAATAAACAAGTCTTTGGCTTCTGTTGGACAGTGTGTCTTTTGTGGTCTGACGTGTTTGTCACACTTACTGCTGTGGCATTTTTTATTTTCTTCCCCTCATGCTCTTCTTGCA